TAAACATATTGAAGTTGATCGACATTTTGTACGAGAGAGGGTCTCATCACAAGAAGTGTGTCTCCCGTACATCACCTCCAACATGCAGCTAGCAGATATCCTCACCAAAGTTGTACCAAGGAAGAAGCTAGAGGCAGATCTATCCAAGTTGAGAATGATAAACATTCATTCCCAACTTGAGGGGGAGTGTAGAGAACACTGATGTGGGCCCCACAGCTACGGTCCCACTGTGTTCGTAGGGTAGAAGGTGTTCTAGTCTTTCTAGGGTTAGCTGGTGGTCAGTTAGTTATTTTAGTTGTTATTTATTTCAGTCTTATTTTGTTCTATTTGTTATGTAAATACTAAGGGCAGATCTGTCCTTTCCATGTAATGAGCATAACCTATAAATATTAAATAAAGTGGCGGCGGCAGAACATTAAGCTTCTATTCCTCCTTTCAACTCTTGTGTTCTACTGCTCTCTCTTCTCTCTTTCTCCTCTCTTCTCTATACTTTTTCTTCTATTTTCGAACCTGAAATCCATTAGGGTTCAAGACTGATAGCAGTCCTAAACGTCTACTTTTACTTTGAAACAGTGGATGGAGGTGGGCATAGTTTGTGTGTGATCAGTGATGAATAACTTGAATCGAGCAGTGTCAAACAAGATGACCTAGGGAAAAAAAAAAAAACTTGGACACATGGCAATGGTTTCTACAGTTGTAAAGAGGGAGGATATATAGAAGATGGCTAAATATGAGTGCTAGAAAGACTAATACTGTTAATTCTTGAAAGTTGGATGGCTAATAATCTGGTCACTCAATGAGAGAATAATATTAATGGTTAAGAAAATCAAACTGCCTGATCAACTTCATTTTAAGCTATATTCCACACAAAATAAACTTTACTGATTGGTTTGTCTGAATTAATGACATTACATTTATAGTGGTTGGATGTTAAGGAAAAACTGAGTGACAGATGTGCATAAGCATTGACATTGAAGTGTCATGTTTGTACATAAGGCCACAAATGTGAAAACAATAAATTTAAGAAAATCAAACTGCCTGGTCAACTTCATTTTAAGCTATTTCCATCCAAAATAAACTTTACTGATTGGTTTGTCTGAACTAATGACATTGCATTTATAGTGGCTGGATATTAAGGAAAAAACTGAGTGACAGATGTCAGGTGTGCATAGGCATTGACATTATAGTGTCATGTTTGTACACAAGGCCACAAATGTGAATACAATAAATTTAAAATACCAATTGCAACTTAACATGACTGTAAGGAAAGCTGGATGACTTGTAAAGCATGGTCATCTTAGTATCTCACTAACAAAGAAATGGATATGCTTCATCTATTTGCTGGGCTGTCAACTTCTGCATGCTATTCTGATAGTGTTGAATTAATCATGACCACATTTCCAACATCTAACACTAAGACTGCATGAATTGAGAAATGGGATATACTAGAAAATTTGGGCTTGCTATTGGCATTAAAATCATATTATCCTAATACTTAGTGTAGAAAGAAAAAGTAAATATTTAGTAATGACTACTTTGGAAGTTATAGACAACAGACTTCAAGCCAACAACAACTAAGGAAGATGAAGGAGGAGTCACGTCAAGTATTCAAAACTTTATTTGAAATTTCAACAAACATATGGTGGGCGTCGGGCGGTGACTGCATGCTTAAAGTACAAGTTTCAATTTTATAGAACGCAGGATATGTGAGAACTTACTAACTATAATTACACACAAACCAGAACTATAATCTCAGTTGAATTCTTAACAGATTAGAAAACAAAACTTTAATCCAGGTTAGAATGCCTGCTATAATAGAAGGTAAGTAACTGCCAAGACTCTCAGGTAATGAGAGGAATTTCACTTTGGAACTGAATTAGAAAGAAACAGAAAACGATGGTGAGAACTATGAAGCCTCACGTAAAACTACAGATTTATGAATAAAATAGGCTAACGCTAATGCAGAAGATCGCGAGGTAAAAAATTAGGGAATAAATTAAACTTCAAAGGTTGCAATAGAACTCTGATCTCTTATCAGAAAATCCACATAAATAACAGCTAATACGGAAACTCAATATTGATAAGTTAATCAGCTAGACTCGTCAAGGTGGAGCTAAGTTCTAAAGCCAACTAAACAGCTGGGGCTACAAGCCAACCACAATAACAATCAACCTACATGCATTACAATAGAATCTCTTCACACCAGAGAGTTTACACTACTTGAAGCAATTCATGATTTTAGAGCATAGTTGAAGTTAATAAAGTAGAGATAGTTTACAAAACCCAGCATACTAAAATCGAAAATCCGCACGAAATACAATTCAGTAAGCCTACCGAAGTAATAGATACAGCTACAAATCCATTATAATCAGAGCTACACAAAGCACAACATATAGTTCAAAAACACATAAAGTGACCAAAATTGAGAAAAATAAACAAAACGGGGTTTTTCCTAGAAAACCAAATTAGGCACTCACGCAAAAGGAGAAGGCTCGACGAACAGAACAATACGCCGGGGCTTGGAAATGCCTTCCGTTTCCTCCGAAACAGGAGGTCCCTGCTCTTCCTTTTCTTCATTCACTTCTGTAATGGCCATATTATTGTCTGAAAAAGCAGCAACACTTGGTCTCCTTTTGCTTCTCTTTGCTTGAACGAGTTGCGGGAAATGCACTTGTTTGCACGAGAGACATACGGGTCTTCTGCCGAAAGAAGGAAAAACAGAGACTTCGAGAGTAGAAGAAAAAACGGGAAAAGAAGACGACGACGTCGAATTGAAAGAAAGAGGAAGTGCCAAAGTTGGATTTATAGAGAGAGTCATGACGTTATGGTTGTTCTCCTTATGGAGTTCGTTTGGAATACAATCGTTGGTGAAATACGAGGAGCAGCTCGAAAATTTTATTTAAAGCTTTTCGCTTTGGGGGGAGACTTTGAACTCAGATCAGAAGTGGATATTTTCAATGGAGTAGAACTGTAGAAGGAATAAATGGATACCGAATCAAGTATATGCCATCGTCATATAAAACAAGAAAAAGTAATCAAGCATATGCCATATCGTAGGCTTGTAGCTGTTCTAAATCTGAATTCCAATTTCCATGGGTTAGAAACTCTTATATTGGGAACGTGTTGCCTGTCTACTATTGTAAGAGACATTTCTACTAAGAGTTCAGTTAAATTGAATTTGGAATTGCCCTTGGGTTTTACCCCTACTAAAAAACATCCAGAGTGAGACATCACATTGCCACGTGGCAAATTTTTTGATACAAATGGAATCCCAACAACATTTGAGAAAAACTTGGGCTGCTCCGAGGCATGAACTGATATGGTTGATACTTTTTTATTTATTTATTTTATAATAGTGTCTTAGACCTTTTAAAAGTTTTCAAAATATTTGTATATCAAGATTAAGATTATTAGAAGTTTTTTGAAATTCGTCCGCTTCCATCTTTTCAAGCCTTTTTGAGCATGTACCTTCTAATCTTTCCAGTTTTCTTCCGTTACCCAGCGAAAAAAAAAAAAAAAATCCAAACACTGCCTAAGTAAAATAACATTTTTAGTATGCAAATGGGCCGAACGAGAATCCAACCCATTCCGGGTTGAAGAGGTACTCATCTTGTGAACCCAATATGAGAGAGAATTCGAATTAGTCAAGAAGTTGACACGAGCGGTCACCATGGGCCGGCCATCTTTTAGCACATGTTTCATGATTCATGAATAGAGGAATTCTGGAGACACACACACACTGTTTAATCAAATCGGTCGGAACAGTGAAACAAGAAGAAGATCAATGATCAATCCCCCCCCCCCTTATCTGTAAATATAATCTTGGAAGTTGATGTAGGAAATACGCAATATGTGGAGTGGAATCGAGTTCAGATCTGCACCCCACTATGTTTTACAGCACATCCTCGTCGTGTATTAGGAACATCTCCCTGATGATGACATCATTAAGTTTGATATTATCATCAGAAAATATTTCTAATACACGGCCAGGATGTAATGTGGGATGTCATGGAGCGCAGATGTGAACTCAGTGAAACCTTCCAAATCCAATCCCATATGTACATGAGAAATGCCAACAGTTATGAGATTGTGGCTCCACACCTCTCATTTTAAATCCGAAGTCGGCCCAACCCAAGATTTTACACGACTGCGTCTGTGGATTTTTGGTCTTTGGACTGGGCCTGACTCCTGAGCCAAGAATTTCGGATCTCTATTTTCAGGTTGATTTTGGGCCGACAACGTAGGTGAAACAAATCTGCGCAAGTTTATACTGATTAAGGCTGAATACTGAGATAATGTAGCATTGGAAAAACTGATTCGAGACCCCACATTCCATTGATAGGCCAATGACCCAAACCCTTGTCAATTGACATGTGGTGAGAATAAAACAAAGCCTTCTTCTTTTGTAAAAATTTAATTTGAAGACATTATAATTTAAAAAGCTAATATTACTTACGGAAAACTACTAGTAAATATAAGGTATGGGGGTGATGTAAACTGAAAGAATAAACAAGTGACCCCATTCGGTGAATTGTTCAGCTTAACCACATCATCCCTCCATATGGCAGAAATATGGCACATTGAGCAGGAATTAGGGGAGCTCTCTACTTGACGACCCAATTAGAAAACTGTGTCTCTCTCTACATAGGAGCATAATCAGATTAATATTGGTAAAACTTCACTAGATAGCCAATGAATCTTCCATGTGACCCAAAAAAAAAAAGTTCGGGTATCCATATGTTCATTTCATCTAGCCTCTACTCGACTCTACTATTACTAATGAGGCAAGTTTCCAAGTTAAAAAACCTTATAGCAACATGTTCGGCCCGGGTATACTGTGGATCTTGGCATGTGGGCTTTAAGCTTTCTAAAAATTTTGGATCTTAATGACCCTAAAGTTTAAATTATACACGTGGCTATCTATCTGCCTATCTTGACTCGTTAATGGGCTTATCCAATGCGAAGATACGAATGATGAGCTCATCTTTTATTTTCCAAGGGTCTTAACATTGAAAAGAAGATGAGAAGCAGCGTTTTGTACCTCCTCTTAATACTTGAATAGACATCATAAATGCTATGAAAATCACAAGCCTATCTCATATGGTCAACACACTGCTCTAAGAGCCCGTTTGACGAAGAAAGTTAGTGAAGTTGATTTCTTACTACTACTGCCCATTACCTGAAAAGTGGAAATAAGTTTAAACGAACTGAGAAGTCTATTTTCCTATGTTTAATAATCTGAAACGACTCAGAGTTAACACAGCAGCTCAATAAAACTTGAAGCAATGAAGCCCTCCCAATTTCCAAATACTATAGGTAATTAGTTGAATTAAAGTGCATTTTGGCTTTTGGGATTTTTCCCTTTCTAAACTTTTCCTATAAGACCGACCACCTGCCATACAAAAGTCAAAACTCAAAAGCTGCTGCTTGAAAACCGCCCAAACGGGCCGTAAAGTTATTATCACTCTCCTGGTCTCCTCTGAATTTGGTATGGTAGATGAGATTGATTGGGCAATTTGGCTTTTACGACGATGCGAGTGCAGCGGCAAACGAAAGCTTTTCATATACGACGGACCATAAAAGGGCAAATAGGAAATTAAAGCCCATCTCAATTCTCAAGAACAATCCCCAGAAGTCTGATGTCTCCTCTGAATTTGGTATGGTAGATGAGATTGATTGGGCAATTTGGCTTTTACGACGATGCGAGTGCAGCGGCAAACGAAAGGTTTTCATATACGACGGACCATAAAAGGGCAAATAGGAAATTAAAGCCCATCTCAATTCTCAAGAACAATCCCCAGAAGTCTGATGTGACACAAAGCCTTCAGAATTCGTGTTCATATCGCGGTCCAAAGCGAAACTGGCGTGCAGTGGTACATCCAAATACGTCTACGTATAGCCCAAAACTCGAGGCTAGGATATATGTAACGATAACTGCCACACTGTCGGCACCTGATTTTGCTTTTGTAAATTGTTAATGTCCCAAGAAATAAATCTGGAGTTCTTCACATGAAATCACCAGCGGAAAAAACGAACCGGTGTTCCGGAAATAGAAACAAAAATTGTCAGGTGTGTCACTTGTGACGGAATCAAAATCAAAATGTCAAACACCCCTTTTATTTGGTTCCGTTATTCGGTAAATGTTTTGTACATGTTGGCTTGTAAAATCGAAAAAAACAATTAATAAAGACATCTATAACCCATAGATACCATTAAGCACCATATCAAAATATCTCTAAAATGAAGTTTTCTATAGGGCACATATGTGACACTGCATATAAATGTTTATTCAATAAACATAAACAGAATCAAATATATACTTGATACCAGGTGTGTATATTATATTGAGTCAGAATGCCTCCAATACCCCAAATAAGAGATGTTTTAGAAAAGCATAAAATCAAGCAAGAATCACTATTTAATCCACCATCAAATGCTAATACAGGGGCAAATATTAGTGTTTAGGGTAAGGGTGTTTTTGATATTTTGAATTATTATAGATGAGTTCAGAATTCTATAATAGGGTGCATTGTACTTTTTCATAAAATCAAACTCTAAAACAATTTAAAAAAAGAATATTAAACATCCAAACACCCAATATGCCTATTCTTATGTATCAAGTGTAACGATACCTTAAATCACGTCCATAGTATCTTGAAGTTACTCCGTTAATAATTTGATAAAGCATCTAAATTTATTTTAGGCAAATACTTGTATGTGAAAACTAAAATATTCCAATATGCTATGAAAAATTGAATTGTAATCAAACAATTAATCCCATTGTATTGACGTGTGTGCCGTTTTATGATTGGATCCCACTTTATAACCTTTGGCTCCATAAAACGAGAGGATGAGCTAAATCAAGAATGATGTAAACATTTATATCAGTTCAATTTTATTGACGTTGGGAGGAAGTGTAATTATGATTGATTTAAAACTCCACTTCAGTTTAGTTTTGCGTACGTTTGAATGGAGTGGAATTTTATATCATGAATCAATGTAAAATGTCACCAAATAAAAATTTTTACTTTGATTATTGATGTAAATACTAATAAAACTTTACACCAATTGCATCACACTTTTTAAAAATACAACAGTCACTAATTATGGTTCATTACTTTTACACCTATTCCAAATACAACAACATCAGTTTCCTGAACGGCAGTATAACAATTCACTCAAAAAGACAACGATTTTAACTGTTTTTTATTTTAATTAATATTTTATTTTTTCAAAAGTGTAATGGATCATCCATTTGAATCCAAAAACCACGCAATCCCAATTCCGAACCGGTTTTTAAAACATTGTTTCAAACTTCAAAACGTGTGCTGGATGCATGCATGATGGTTAAACCAAAGGCAAGAAGGTCCCCAGTCCCGACATGCGACATCAAGTTCAAATTTGACTGTGGTCCGTGGGTCAGTGTAAAGTGGAAGCGAGAATATATAGACAACTCCCAGCCTGCTACCTCTCTGTAACACCCCTTTTGTCTTGAGGAAAATGTACAACAATTCTAACATTGGTCGACGGCTGAACCCAAACCACGAGGTGTTGCCTTCAATCCTTGCTTCATTATCGCTTTTTCCGATGCTTCATTGCTTGGTCAATAAAGCTAATTGTGAAATATGAATATCGCTTTCTTATACTCTCCCTTTAAAAATATATATATATATAATTCATTCCCCTGTTAAGATTTTGATGATTAGTTTTGTTTCTTGGTAGTTTTCTTAAGACGCAATGATATATAATTCTCAAATCCTCTATTCCTTAAAGTAAAACACATTACACTTACACACCAATAGCGATACCCTCTGAAAAATCTAAAAATAATAATAAGGGAAAATTTTCAATTGGTATCCTCTATTTTGTGCCTGATGTTATTTTTATCTTTACTTTAAAATGCAGTAATTCAATATTTGAATTTTCAAAATATAATAATTTAATGCTTGTCATTAATCAGCAATTAACCTACATTTAAGTGACATTTGAAAATGACATAAATGTCTTTCCAGTGTCATTTAATTTTCTTTATCAATCATCTAAATGTTGACAAAAAATTAAGTCTTAAAATCTTTGCTTCTTCCATTTAAGAAAGTTGGAGTTACGTTTGACTGGGCATTCTGGTGGCTCCAACTTTCTTGAATAGAAGAGGCAATGATTCGAGACTATTAATTTTTTTGTCAATGTTTAGATAATTGATAAAGAAAATTAGATGACATTTGTGTCTTTTTAAAATGTCATTTAATAACTGATTAACAGGTAATTAACTGTAGGTGTTGGATTATCACGTTTTGAAAGTTCAATATTGAATTGTCACATTTTAAAGTTTGAGAACCAAAGTATTTACAGGTACTAATTGGGATTTTTTTCCAAATAATAATAATTACAAACAGAGAAATAGGGACAGACTCAATGTAGATTTCTGATTTCAGCGCTATAAACATTTAAAAGGCCAAAAACCTGTACTCAACGCACTCATACCCATTAGCATCAATTCCAATCAAGTCTCAAAGAAGGGTTACCCATCCTCATTCCTCCATTCCTCCTCCAATATTATTGAGGATTTCACGCAGCTGAAGAGCTTTATCTCGTGTTTGGATGGAAGGTGGACCATAGCTGGAATCTGAGAACGAGAGAAGAAAAGCAAGGAAGAGTGAGTAGGCCTGATGCCTGCAAACACCTAAAAAGAAACGCCATGGCAGTAGTACTGTCTTCGCTATCTATCAATCATATCCTTACTTCTTAGACCTTTACTCAACGGCAGTAGTAGTAGTAGTCCTCCACTCCTTCCAAAGTTTCAATTTTCAACGGCTCCACCACACCACCGTCTTTTGACATTCACAAACCCTCCAACTCCAAAGACGATTGTCATTATGCATGTTTGGATGGCATGCATGGGCATGGCTGGGTTAGGATATGTCATGGATTTTTCACATAATTAATCCTAATAAATAATTAAATAAAGAAGGAACCCCTCGGATCCACCTAACTCACTTATGACTTAACAGTTATTACTGCACACATCACTAGGGTTGTAATCGGATCGGATGCAGCAATATCCACATCCAATCCGATTACTGATAGCATACATTCAAAACCCGATCCGATTTAAAGGTTTGGATTCGAATCCGAATCCTAACAGACTCGGATCAGATCGGTGGAATCTGACTCTACTATAATTTTTTATTTATTTTTAATTTTTATATATAATAAATTAATATAAATATAACACATTAAATTTATTATATACATGAATTCACATATAATGTAATATATAGAATATATTTTTATAACTTTAAATATAGTTATATAAAATTTCTATATTAAAATTAATAAATATTATATTATAATTGAATTTGGATTTTAATTGGATCGAATGGAATCAAATCCGAATCCGATCAAATTATTAATCGAATGTAGATTATACCATCCAAACCTAATCCGATTATATATATACATCATCCAAATCTGAGATAATTGGATCAGGTCTTCAGATTTAACTGCTGTTTTATGAAAATAGAAACCGTTGTTGATCCTTCCCTTTTCCTCTCAATAAGTGAATGCAGAACAATGGTGCTATTTAGCAACAAGTATTTTTAGAAAGATGTTCTGACAGCTTAAATGGCTAAAAGATAGTATTAAATTTTGGGGTCTTGTCTTTTGAATTAAAGACTGTTTGTTAAGCAGTTTGGGTTTTTAAATTAAAAAAGTGTTTGGGTTTTTAAATTCCATTTTCGCTTTCAAAAATGTATTAAACTCCAAACGCCACCGACATCATTCCTATCTTTTTTGTCTAACCATGCATTGATTGATTGTGTAAGGACTCACCATTGCTTATATAAGAATCCAATGTCATCTTACTCAGCTTGATATACAATTTTCTTCTCCAAAATAATAATTCAATTCTCTAAACTAGTCCAAATGGGGAAAAAATGTTTTCAGTTGATTTGGCACTTGATTGGTCTAAGCTTATTCTTTTTATTTTATTTTTGCATTACATAGTAATTAAACATTAATTACTATGTATCGTTAGTGGTTGGACGCAACATGGATACTAAATTGTAACAAAAGTCATATTAAAATGTTAATGACTGTTCTTTAACTCTTTAACACCCCTCCACTTAACTTCGAAAATTTAAGAAAAATATTTATTTATTTTTATAAAAATGCTATAATAGATCCAAAAACCCCCCATCCTATTTATCTCCAAACCCCACCTCTTTTACTCTTTATCTCGTGTTATTGTTTTTTGCCATGAAGACGGACGATGGGAAAAGTATTAAGTAGTATTTATGGGATTTGGGAATTGCCGCAAAACCTATAATCGAAAGATATGGTAATTCTTTCACCCTTATATCATTTATCTATTTCCTCCATTTGAAAGGAGTATAAATATACAGTAATTTTATATTATTTTGTATCTATTTGTACACTATATATTTGTATTTGTATTTTTTTTCAAATTGACTTTATGTAACAATATTTGTATTATTTATATTATAAAACTTTATAATGTAATTAACTTGGGCCCCGTTTAGCGCGTCTTTTTGTATGTGTTGCTAATAGAGATGGCCACGAGCTGAACTTTTCATGAGCTATTCAAGCTCTGCTTGTGAGGTTCACGAGCCTAGTATAATAAATAAATAATTTTTATTACATACTTATATACATATATACGTGCATACATATAAATATATATAATAAATATTTTTTATTATATATAATAATAATTTTTATATATAATACTTTTATTTTTATGTATAATAGTAAATAATTTTTATAATTCTTAATTTTTTGTATGTAAAATAAAAAATTATTTTTATATGTATAATTTTTACCTTTTAGAAAAAGCTTGGCTTGCAATTGACCTCGAGTTGAGCTCGAACTTGCAAGCTTTTGAACCGAGCCAAGCTCAAGCTCAAATTGAGTTCAAGCCTAACACTATTTTTGCGAGTCGAGCTCGAATAACCAAGTATTTGGCTTGGTTCGACTCGAATCCATCCCTAGCTGCTAGTTGTTAAGAAGCCTAGTAGCTTGTGTTTTGGTCTTTCCTCATTTGGTTGGAAAAAGATCTAGCCACCAAAAGATGTCGCCCCGAAAAGAAGCTAAAAGACAAATGATGTAACTACGCTTATATATGAACCTACAATATATCACATTCTTAACAAAGAAAAAAAAATTAAAAATCTAATGTCTACATATTATTCGATCAATCTTCCAACCAAACAGAAGTGAATCTATCCATAACCCAAGGGCTCAAACTCATTTCTAAGCTATAAAATTAGACTAGGGCTCGACCAGTATCAATCAGAGGTGTAAATTGGGCCACGCGAGGGCCAACATGGCACAACTTTGCAGGCTGCCCATGCTTTAGCGAGTCTCGTCATGCCAACCCATAGGCTTAAGTGGGTGGTGTCTACTTCCTTTGGGATCACTAACAAGTCAAGCCCGACACAACCCATGGCATAAGCCCAAGTGGGCACGAGTCGGGTCGTGTTGCAAGGTGGGTCATGCTATGTTGCGCATCGAGCCATGGGTCGGGCCATCAGAGACATATTTAAAAAAATTGTAAAAGAAATAATAAAAATTTTAAAATAAATTAATAGAATAGATATAAAATTAAAAAATACTAAAAATTTTTAATTCTATATGAATTTTGATATATACAATTACATATAAAATAATAAAATGAAATTAAAAAAATTAGAATACAATTAAGGGGTTTTTATGATTCAGTCAAATTCCTCAAGTACACCCTTAATCATACGGATAAATTGGTTGGTACCACTACACACTATAGGGGATGGCAATTTTTCTTATCCTTGGCGGGGACCCGACTTCCCTGACCCGATGGGGTCGGGGATGGGGATTGTTTTGACGGGCAGGGATGGAGATGGGGATTAATAAGAATCCCCGATCGGGGTCAGAGTCGGGGATGAGGATTGAGGTCCCCGCCCTGCCCCAACCCCGATTATATATATATATTTATTATTATATTATATATATTAAATATATATTATTATATTATTTATATTATATATCAAAATATATTTAAAAATTTATTTATAATTTAAAATATTTATTTATTTTAAATAAATTTATTTTTTAAATAAATTTATTTTTTAAATAAATACTATTATATATAAAAAATTTCGAGAATTCAGATCCCAACGAGAATGGAGGACAAAATTTATCCCAACGTGGATCGGGGTCGGGGACGGGGAATATGATCCCCGCCCCGTTGCCTTTACTAGGCACTACCCGCATATTCAAATGCGAGAAAAACCTCACTCATGTCCATGGATGGTCATGGTCATACACTAGACCAATGATAAAAACCAGTAAGAAAACATCCCTTTCCATGGGTAACTCACATGCATGTTGCATGTGCATACACATGCACGTATCATAACATGCACCGGGGGTGAGGGGTGCGTAATGCAGACGCTGGCTTTGTCAAATCAGTCAAGAAACCATTTCCATTTGCAGTAGCTCTGACTTTTCTTCCTACGATCTATTGAGTCTATTCTTCTTTTCCTTTTCTCTTCCTCTCTTTTTCCATCAATAAATACACCCCACTTACTGCCCATCTCTCCGACTCTCCCTCCCCCCATTCACATTTCTTCTCTCCACTGCAACCCATCTCTTCTCCTCTCCCCTTTCAAACCCCTCTCACTCTCTCTCTCTCTCTCTCTCCCCACTTGTGTATTGTTTCTACATCCGAGGATGTCTAGGAAACCAAGTGATTTAGGTAACTTCGCTCATACAGATATCAAGGGGAGACCGACGGTATTGTTAAAGCAGAGCAGCAGCAAAAGAGTTGCCGGAAACAGGGACAACGCTGGAACTTACAGTTTTCGACTACCCAAGAGCTTAGGATTTTCACCGGTGAGATTTCTGAGGAGTCTTGGGGATAAGGTGGCAAGAGTTCTTCAAAGGATATCTACGAGGGGGAGGAGGTCTTCCTCCAAAGTCTCCTCGTCCAACTCAAGGTCGAGGCCATTGGCTGCATCGTTTGATTCTCACCGGTCGGAAGCCATAGAAGATTGCATCGAATTCATCAACTCTTCTGCTTCTTTCCAGAGGTCCAATTCCGTTTCGACAAATTAGACTTTGGGGCAGAATTATGGCATGCATGTAAATGGAAGAGCAGAGGAAGAAATTTATGTAATACTACTACGACTATTACGATGTTTTGTGGTATTAATTTAATAATAATAATTTAAAACTATGTTTATGTTGTAGTTTCTTGTTATTTTGTATGTCCCTAAGTAAGCTTAGTTCACATGAGACAACAACATCTCCATCAATCTAGAATTCCCTTTGTTTTTGGGTACAACATCGACAGATCAACTTAGAATTCAAGTAACAGATGAAACCACCCCAGAAAAGGAAAAGGCACTCGTTTGAAAGAGCAAATTGGGAGTCAATTTTGTGCTCGGAAAGCGTCCAATCAGCGTTGGAAGTAATGGCAACTGCATTTTATCATCCATCGCTTCCAAACTGAAACCTTGTTAGCCAATAGTCTCCGTCTTCTGTGGAGTTCAATAACCAACCATCATGGTCAATTGGTCATGCACGAACTCATAGCTTACAGCGTAATCTAGTTTAAGCTTGGAAGAAATGGAAGGATCACTCAAAAGTTGTCAACTCTTCCGGTTTGGAGATGGAGAGAAAAAGCTAGAAAACCTCTAAAATTTTCAGTCTAGCATCTGTAGATGGTAATAGTATTTAAAACTTTTCTAACAAACACATTCACCCACACGAGACGACAGAGGGTTTTCTTTTGGGCATAAGCTAAAGAGGGGAGACAAAGACAAAGTGGGAGTAGCAATGGTACCAACCAAACTCAATATCGTATCATTTTTTGTTTTTTCATGGAATTTCGGCGAATCTCCCAAATTTTGAAGTTTGTTTCGTTCAGCCCCAACAAAATTCCGAAACTTTGCACAATTAAAAATCTTGGATAAATGTTCAAAAATAACTATTTGCTAGTATATAATTAAGCTTTTCAACTCTTAAATATAATATTATAAGAAATAAAAGGTGCAACCGTGCAAGAGCATACATGATACATCCAGTCCAGTCTAGTCCAGTTGGGCTGATTAGTGATTTACCCAAAAGCTCCAGTTGGTTGGGCTCATAGGACATCAAGTGGTGGCCCACTGATAGGAAGATCTTAGACAGTTGGGTAGTTTGTCTGTTGCAGTAAATGGGGTTGTGGAAGCAGAAAAGAATGATGTGTCAAAAATCGCAACTCCCGTCACGTGGTACGTCTTAGGTTTGCTGCTTGCACTCCCTCCTCCTTCCCACTCCCTCCACAGTGCACCGCATTTAACACCGACACAAATATATGTGGATGGGTGTACCAGAACTCAGAATTCATAAGAGACCCACCCACCCGCCTGCCGCCTCTGTACGTGAATGGTGAATGGTGATTGGTGAATGAACGAACACAGGTTGAGTAGAATTGGTTTTCACTACCTTTGAGTGATTTATTAGAATGTATTCAGTTGGAAGTTTACAAGAAGAGAGACTCTCTCTTCGATAAAGATACATCCAAAGTGATGTGTGAGATGTCCAGATTCTTGTTAATCGAAGGAATATGAAGAATATTGTTTATAGATAAATTTCGAGATTTGCAAGAAATAATAGAAGAGTCAATGTGTGATATGTTTAAATTTTCACCATTACCGATTGTGACCTAATCAGGTCTATCATATTGGGAGTGAACTTGGAGCTTCTCTAGTTCAGAAAGTGATGTGATTGGTTGCTCCGGAATCCGGGTACCAATAATCTTCGAATTGAGTGCCATTCGGAACTGAAGTTGTATGAGCCGTAGGAGTAGTGTTGGGCTTTTTGGAGCGAGGCTTGAATTTCTTGTTGTATTGGTTTCGACAACAGAAAGTGGAATGATTTCGGCCTCCATAGATTTGGCAAAGATTGTTGGCATATTTTGACTTGTTTGTTGACTCTCTGTCTCTGCCATCCTTGTTAGTGTATTTGAGGTTTTTGACAAAACCCTTGGTTGAATAGTTGGCCGAAGGTGGGATTGAAGTTGCAACAAGTCTAGACTATCCGAACTTCCTAGCTGATCAGAAGAGCCTGTAAATTATCAAAGCAAATTTCATTAGGACGGGTTTGTACGGAGGTAACAAATGCATCATAATCGGCCCCTAAACCATTGAGGGTATAGTGGACCATATCCGAAGTGGATAGCGGTGATCCGGCTGCCGAGAGGTTGTCCGAAATAGTCTTGATTTTCTGGAGATAGATCTCCATGGAATCTCCTTCTTTCTTCAAGGCGAGAAGCTGGTTCTTGAGTTGAATGATGCGAGTTCGAGATTTGGAGGCATAGAGTCTTTCCAACGTGCACCACACCTCACAAAACGATCTACATCCCACCAACTGAGCAATAACAAGTTCAGTAAGAGTGGAAAGAAGCCACCCCATGAGCAATTTATCTTACTTCACCCAACTAGTGTAGGCGTAGACTTCCAAATTATTTCAGATGGTTGAGGAGGGCATTCGAAGGTTCCATTGATGTATCCGATGAGTCCGAATCCAAAGATAACTGGTTCAATGTGAAATCTTCAGAGCACGTAACTTTTCCCATCCATCTTGATGGAAATTAAGGTGGAGAGATTTCCATTGGGAATGATAGGAGAGGGGATTGAGGGTTTGAGTTTGTTGGAAAAGGAGAGTTGTTCGACCGGGTGGAGCTCGACATGGTATGCTGGGTTGATGGCTTTGATACCATGAACGAACACAGGTTGAATTGAATTGATTTTCACTACCTTTGAGTGATTCATTAGAATGTATTTATAATTTGTTAGAGAAGTTAGAAGTTTACAATGAGAGAGACTCTCTCTTGAATAAGATACATCAGAAAATAAAGATAAGATAAACAATAATTTAAATTTTAAAAACACTATAGGTTTATCCCATGGGATAGGATGCTCAACAATGTGGCATCGTCATCATCATCGTCCCACTCCCACCTAACCTCAGCTACTTGTGTGGTCACAGCTCCACGTACGGCTCCATCGATCGTTCCTTCCGCGTTGTTGGGTGGATTTAATTTAGTTGTCTACCTCTATTAAGTAGTAACAGGAGATTTGCAAACATATCTGTGGATGGGCGGAGGACTAGTTTGACAGAAGCTTAATTAATTTCCTTTCCAGTTAATTCCACCAGGCCACATCGAGGATCGGGCCCTCTGTTCGTGAGTCGTGACTTCGTGTTCGCCCAGCCTCAGCCTCAGCCTGTGTCAACCTGCCAACAAGAGGAGGCATGCATTTGTGTGGGCACTGGGCACTGGGCAGGGTAGATAGCATTGTTCTCAATGGGGGCGACATCCATTAATGTTGTGCTGGCCCCTCGACCAGCACAGGACAGTGCCTCAACTTTTAACGCTTCCTCCTGCTAGTTTATCTATCCTAACTACTATCTTTGTTTTATTTGGTGTCTGTCTCAGGCTTAGGCATTTCACGTACGCTTCACATATCAAGTTGATGAGAATGGTTACGCCACAATCTCACTCTATATAGTTGTGAAACAAATCACGTTTAGAAAAACTTAAAAAAAAATATATATATTAAAGTAGAAAAGCATCTCTAGCTTTAGACTAATTCCTCTTTTTCTAATTTCATTGAACACTCTATTAATTAGAATCCTACTAAATCTCTTTAAAAAAATAAGAAAGTCCTAAATTCAAAAATCCCATTGATAATTGGTAAATACGAATTAAGATGAATTATTGAAGCCAACTTAGTAATTATTTATTCAATTGGGTAAGAGAGGTCATTCAAACTTCTTATTTTTCTTGAAATGGTTCTAACTTGCATAGAACTTATTGACCTTGAATTTAATTTAAAAAATATCAAATTGTAGTTTTCCATGAAACCAGAGTTGAGTTATTGGAGAAAGTTTTCACACTTATAAATAAATGAGGTCCACAGCTGAATACTTTTGTTGAGACAATCTCTATTTCTGCACCATACATTAGTCCAACATTATCATCTTGGGTACAAATATGTAATGTGATTTATGGGTCGTTCTCCCTTTAATACTGGGGTTGAGGTCAGTAGTGGGAGCATGTATGAATACAGTGTGCCAGTGGCCATGATGTGTAGTGTGCGTGCTGCCCTTGAGTTAGGCCTTAGGTTAGACACCATCGTAAATGAAATGATCTCAGCTTGTTCTTTAATTCATTGCGTTTGAGAGACAAATTCAACATCTAGAATTAATGGAGTTGTATCCTGTCTGTTAGGTGAAGATGTAAATGAGGTGAGGATTTCAGTACTGTCTTGTCTTCATTTAGAGAAACAGTTCAAGGGCGGCTACGTATGCTACTATGTAAAGCTGTGTTCTTTGATAATCGATATTTATATTTGATTAATTGTATGTGTATGGTCAGCCTAGTCCAAGCACTTTGGATATATGGGGTGATGATCAGTTCTTTCCCCTTGACATTCAATAAATTATTATTGACTTGCTGCTGATAAAACAACGGATTTATCATTCATCTTAATTATATAATTAAATAATAGAGTTGGGTTAATTCTCTGTATTGAGCTGACTTTTTGACATTAAAGATGAAACTGCATTATTTTGGTTGGTCTCCTTATCTCCAATCACATGATGAGCGGGCTTGAATTAAAATGAAATAGGGTCTGAATCTTGGACTCTTGGTTCTTAGGGTTTAAATAAAATTTTGATTAACTTTTGCTTCAGGTTTTATTACTTCATTTACATTGCAAACAAACAAAACAAGGCGAGGTTTCAAGTGTAAGCAAATTGGAATTTGCAACCGACTTATTTGCATTTCCATACTTGAGCACCAAATGAAATTGCATAGCAAACAAACTAGGCCTAAATCTCAAAAGATCAACAGCTTTAACCAGAAGTGTTTCATTGACCACTCTCTCAATTTATCGCTATTTAAGCTTTGAGCTTGCAACCAAATTGCCTGAGCAAAAGGGTATAGATAAAATAAATGAAGATAGGATTCATTTGAGTGGTTAAACAGCACGCATGATCCCTCCCTCTCATCTTTATTGCCTCTGTTATTGTCTTTAGGTGGCATCGCGCAATCTGAGTAAGCTTTAATTCCAAATGAACAGTTGAAACCTATAAAGAATTTGTATTAATTTCTTTCCCGTGTAAATTTGTCCGGCTGATTTGCGTGACAATCTGAAGATTGAGGTTCATTCCATTTTAATTTCCATCCGGGAGGTCGATTTCAATTGGTTAAGCAATCTCCTTGTTAATTTGTCTCGACCAATAAGATTGACTTCGTTTTTGTATTTACCTAGCTTAGAAGGACTATTGTTCAGATATTACTGAGCGCTAGAGCCCATTTGGGAGGGCTTCTGCATTGAATGAGCCATTTGGGAGAAGGTACCTGGGCTCCATGTAAGCCCATTTCCAATTTTCTGGATTTTTTTTTATGAAAAACGGCTTCATGGCATTACGAGTTTTTCAGCTCATGTAACGCTAGAAGCCGCGAAGTGAAAGCCCTCCCAAAACGGCACTTGTGTTGTTTTGATAGTTAAGTGGCATCCTAAATTTTCAACTTTTTAAAAGAAGTCCAATCCATCTTCCACTTTTGCTCAACAATCCATTTATTTATTTTTTTTTTCTTCCCATTTAACCTGTAAAATCCTCCCCTCTGATCTCTGAACACTGCCATTAAAAATTCCTCAACATTACATACTAATTTTCTTAATAATTTCTTTGGAAACAAAAATACCTCCATTACGTAATTTGGAATGGTTTGACCCGCATACAAAATAACAAAATTAGAAGTCGTTCACCCTGTTTGAGACAATGGTTTTTCTTTCAAAAAATGCAATTAGATTCTGAACCCTGTCCAATTGTTCGTCGATCCACAAGGTTTCCCCAAAAAACAGTTGTCCTCAAGTTACAGGTGATGCATTCTCAGCGTTCTTTGAATGGTTCTCCGATCACATCGGAGGTGCACATTCTTGCCGAACAAAATTACAAAACCCCCCGACTTTGATAAAAAATGTGTTCTCTTACAGATTTTGCTTTTAAAATTTTCACAAAAGTTACAGGCTAGCCTTAAAAATAAAATGCGATATTGCGATTACATCCCCACACAAATAGTAGATGACTTCGGTTGACCCAAGCCTAAAAATAGAAATCCTTTATTATTATGTTCTCTGCCTTAAGTAATAATGTTATAACACTTCAGTATTCCAAATGGTTCCGAGACCCTTTTTAAGCAGAAAAAGATTACCAGGTTCCCCATTTAATTTTACTGGAAAAGCTGACACGGATATGCATTGATGCACTGAGCATCTCCAGAACTTCCATCTTCTTTAGCACTTCCCCATTAAAGTTTCATCCCAAGGCCCAAGCCATCATATGCTTTGACTTACCAACTATTACTCTCCGAAGCGGTTGCCTACCTTTTCCAACAATCTCATTAAATCCTTGAGGGGAATAATCACACAAGTAAATATTTAAACCGCAAATGCTTCTGTTGTCATAAACACAAGAATCCAGTTCAGTGAATGATTCCTACCCAATGTGTGGATTCGATTACCATGGACCCTGTCCATCAAACCATGGACTTAAGAGAATCATGCCAAAAAATCAGTAAATCCATGAATTGTCGCCAACTCTGATGAGTCAAAATCGGAAATTAGAAGACCGATTTCTAAAGTAAAAATTAGCCAACGCTATAAGTGAACATGGAAAACTTGGATTTTTTCTGGTACCACTGCTGTTTCTACCTAAAACATTTTGGGTCCAACTGGTGAAAACAGTCACATAACATATGAGAATCACTTTCACTAGATAAACGCGTGAGAGGATCATTGATGTTTACAGTTGAAAGGTCAAATTAGTGTCGGGTAAAAAAAAAAAAAAGCAATTTGCTTTGATCAACCCAAAGAAAACATTTCAGGTAGAAACAACAAATGGTACCAGAACACGGAGCAAAAGTAAAACATCACAGATTTTGAGGACAAATGGCATGCATTCTCCTTCAACTCCAATTGTGCAGAAGCTGGCATCTCCCTCCCTCCCTCCGTCCCCTGGACTGAGAGCTTTATAGCAATGGCATTGCTGGCTCGGTTAATTTAAAAAATGAAAAGACATTCTATTGTTAAAACTTAAACGAGTTAAGGGGGAGAAGTGTTGAATGAGAAAAACAGTTATAAACAGGAGCATACTAAACGAGATGGCAAGAATGAAACCACAGGCTAAACATTTCTACAAAATCACTACTCTTATACAATGATCACATTAAGGTTGTCCCTTCTGCATTATGAAATTCAGAAATGATTAGCAAAATTCTCTTAACCATCCAAATAAATCAATTGGGGTGCTGGATCTCCAAGGTTAGGATCCACACTATCTCTTGTTCCTATTACAGAATACAAAATTCTCAAGACAGTACGCCATGAATAATCATACAATTGGAACTAGGCCCCCCAAAACTCGAACTCTCTTAATGGCATTAACATCCATGCTGATAAGAAATCCCATTAGCTTCCAGCCGCAGCTGGAATAGCTGCTGGCTTTGCATCTTCGGCCTTCTCATGTTCTTTGTTGAGCATCTGAAATCAAATTCCAAATTTGAGGTTATACACAACTACCAGAATTATGCTACTACATGCTGTCTTACATTCAGCCAAATTACAAGGTCAACAGATAAATATGGGATTGTTCATTCAACAGAGCACAAACGAACTAATTAAATTACATGAATACTTTATTACCTTGTTGTTGATCAAGTTATGAAGAGCAATTACACTCCGGATAAGAGAAGAAAGGTAAATAACCAACATCATATCATTTGTTTTCACTGCAACAGGAGACATGGAGATAGATTAAAACAATATATGTATATATATATATATATATATATATATATATATATGTGTGTGTGTGTGTGTGTGTGTGTGCGTAAATATATAAAGCAGAATTTAATGCTGTTCAGTTTCTTTACCAGCAAAAGCCTTGATTAACTCAGCCACATTGAGATTTGGAAGTAGGTTGAAGACATCCTACAAGAGACGAATTTTCTAATAAAGAATTCTACCATCATAACAACTGATTAAAAAAATCAAACATGAAAAAACACCCTAAAGGCCTCTTTACAAGAATTTCAACATGACAACTGCAAAACAAACTTCTTCAAAGATCCATCATCCTTGATTTACCTTGCCACCATGTATAGCTTACCAAACTGTCAATCAGCTGAACCTGACATCAATTTACACCTCCAGGACTCTGAGCAGATGGCTATGTGCATTTGAAAGAGGGAAAACATTTGGTTCTTCCTTCTTCTAAATAAGGACCATTACCCAATGTTGGTCCCAGCCATATGGTTCTTCTTTGGCTTTTTTATTTTTTTGCACAAAGTGGCCGCTCCCAGACTCAAACCTGCATTCTCATGCTTGCCAGCCTGAGATTTTACCATTACTCCAAGTAATGGCCCCCTTAATCTATTTGTTCTCTATCCTCAGCCCAAGTTGCTTTAAATTATGTATGTCTGAATCTGTATGTATGTATGTAATTATGTATAAATCTGTGGCACTATTAATGTTTCATCACTAAGGCAAAGGGAAAAGAAGTATCCACACACCGTACCTCTACATTGTTCCCAGTAGTGAAGCATGCTAAGAGAATATTTATAAGAAATTGCAAGGATGGATATCAAACCTAGATCTTTCCTACAAACACTGAGCAATTTTGTTAACCTAGCAAGCTAACATCCAAAGTAAAAGATTCCATGTTTCGACTTTCAATGTTGCAAATTCAATTTCAAAAAGGAATTTAAAACCACCAAAGGTTGGTTGCTCAAAAACAGAATGCATGTGAACAAAAATAAAAGCAGATATAGAATGGTTACTAAATTTAAAGGCTACTAGACATCAGGCCCTCAAGTGTATATCTTTGTTTCATAGCTTCAGATCATTGGTAAAAGAATGTGTTTAAACAGTCCTATATGATGCACACCCATGCCACAACGTTCTTTAATCAATGATCTGAAGCTAGGAAACAAAGAAATACACTCAAGGGCCTAATGTCTAGTAGCCCTCTATATGATGCACACCCATGCCACAAACATTGCAGAAAAAACATTCAAGAAACAAACATAGCAAACTGGCTTTCCACCACCCCAGATTCATGAAAATAAATGCAACATCAAAGAATCAAGTAATTAAATGCTAGGCTGCAAGATAGAGAAATAGAGAAAATTCACCTGTAGATGGTACAAAATCTCATGGTTTAGAGGGAGCTTTCCATCAATAACAAGATCAAGATAACCCCGTATCTCTCGCAACCTTGCATCGAGACCTTTCAATGCTGCAAGTTTGGCAGTGACCTGTAAAGAACAACATGGTGGCAAATCTTTCAGGAACAAGAAACTCAAATGTCCAGTAGAAAGCATATGTATAGGGTAAGGGTGGATACTTCTGTTGCAAGGGTGCTAATTGTTGTATCTTTCACGTCCCTGAGCAGGTGCTCCACACCTGTTGAACATGGATCATGCACTCAATACCATACATGCAAAACTTAAATGAAAAAAGAAAGAAAGAAAGAAAGCCAGAAGAGATGCTAGTTCAATTAAAATGGTGAACAAAATGTCCTTGGGACAGCTATCTCCGCAATGCATGGACATACCAATTTCCTCAACTTCATGAGCAGCAATTTCTGAAGGCACATGCACAAACACCTTCTGGCTTTTCTGTGTGGCATTCTGTAAACAAAGCTAAAAATTAGTCAAAGCTTCCACCATAGTGGTATACATGAAAATACTTGAATGAAAAGAATAGCTTTGAACACTAAGAAAATACTTGAATGAAAAGAATAGCTTTGAACATAAGAAAATAAAATTATGGTTTTTATGGTCTCTCCAATGATAATAAGCACCAGCTGGGACGGCTACACTTGACCATATTAAAGCTAAAGATAACAAAAATCACCAATTGCACAAATGAAAATCAAACACTACTCATAAAGAAAATTGGAATTTTTACCTCTTTAACCTCTTCTACAGCATAGTAAGCCTTGCTGGGTATGCCAAGTTCTTTTGGTTGCACATCTATGATAACCAATACAGGATTCGGAACATAGCTGTAGTATCAAAGTTGAATTAAAAAAAAAAAAATGAGTACAGAATAAAATTAGCAAAAGGACTACTTAGACAAATTTACATTGTTTGCATAACCACATTAAATGATAAATCATAAACACACAAGCTGCACTAATCTCCAAGAGACCCATGGTGACCAACACAGGACATGGAACACGGTTTCAAATCTCAAAATTAATTAGAAATTAACTGCATAAGTAATGTCTAATGCACAAAGTTTAGAATCACATCATATAAACAGTTAAGTGATAAGCCACAAAAACACAGGTAAGTCATGCTTCTCTCCAAAACAAAAGACCAAATATGACCAGCATAGGAATTGGAACCTAACTGTCGGCAGCCATCAATACAAAAATTGGATTCTGCATTGGATGTTCTGACCATAACCCTATTCAAGTTTACTCATAACATAAAACACCTTAAATGAGAAAATTATGGGGTTTGAAATACCAAAACTTATCCCCAAAAAAGATAAACTAAAAAATGGATGGATTCAGGACCAGCTAGTCATAACTAAGGTGCCCTTGGAAAGCTATTATAGCTATCCTCTTTTGGGACCCAGGGTGAAATTTCGGGGAAAAACTTTGGTGGGTTGACATTCTATTGTACTTTGCACACACCCTGGAATCTTGCCCTATCCAAGGAATCTTTGCACACCCTGGAATCCCAGGAGGTCTGGTCATTTTTAAAATGGTGTTTTATTTTGTTCATCCTGTGATGATGAAAGAATTTGGGGTCCCGATCCAAGAAGTTCTCTCTTCTGCCTCCTAAAACTATGTCATTGAAACCAAACACCCCTAGTAATAATAGCTTCTTAGACCCAAACACTCAAAGATTGTCACTTCATGAAGAGAAATAGGTGAAACGTGAAACCCTAGTTTCAGAACAGAAACCCAACCACAAGAGAAAACTAATAAAAAACGGTGAAAAAGGACACTCAAAAAGCAACCGTTAGAGCTCCAACACCAGACCAAATATCAAATAACTCACATGTTCCTGTTTCCAAATTTCCATCCCTGAAAGATGAGAAGGGAAAAATACAAATAGGAAAAAAACAAAAAGAAGAAAACACAAGAGATGGAAGAAGAAAAGACTTGTAGAAAAGCAATAGAGGAATGGCCTTTTTTAGGGTTCTTTTTTCATTTTTTCTTATTTGTGATTCTGTGTATTTTCGCTTGAGTTCCTCCAGATTCTGCAGAGAGAGAGAGAGGATGATCTGCTATATGATCAGTTGCCACAAAGCCCACAACCCCCTTCTATGTGGTGGTAGATGGGATGATGCCATGAACTGTGGTAACAGGTAACATTCTGGTAAGGAGCTTCCACGGTTCCACCTTCTGTTATGGAAGATGGGGAAATTAACGGTGGCAAGAAGCTGAGATTTCCATGAGTACTCACCACCACCTACACCCTCTTCATTTTAAATTTAGGGTTTAAAAAACAATATTCTAGTCTAATGTAGAAGGAACTAAAATTCCAATGTAACAGTTTACTATGATATGTCACAGTAAGAATCATCCAACCCAAATGAACTAAAATTCTAATGGGGTGTTTTAAAAAATACCCCATCCTACATCAATGCAGATACAATAAATAAACAAAACATAACCAAAGATGAAAGAAAAGAATTAGAGGGAGCACAATGAGCCTACAAGACGGTTATCAGGTAAGAACAAAAGAAAGAGATAAGAACCATGGGGTTTGCAATTTCAATATTGATGGGCATTTCACCATGCAGATAAAGGAAATTTTCAGGGATATTTTGCTAAGAGATTTGGAAAAACAAAAAAGTGAAGGAAATTTTCTAACATCATGGAATTAATTATTAAACCTTCAAGAAATCATTAGAAGTATAATTGCACATTTAAGTCTAGAAAAAACCATAACAAACAACTGTACGAATCAAACAGAGAAGATTAAAAGACCTAAATAGATATCCTTCTCTATGTGTCCCCCACTTTAGTCTTTTATCTATCTTATCTCTATTACATATGTCATTTACTTTCTATTTTGACTTTTGTTATTTTGGTTATTATATTTTTTTATTAAATTGAGAATCTTCTTTGTAGTTGTGTGATTTCTTTTTTTCTTTTGAATTATACTGACATTGTGAATTATATCAAAATAGTAAACCAATCATTCAATCACTCAATCCCTATTTGTTCTTTTAGGAACAGATTTTTAGAAAATTATGATGGTCTTAATCAAATATCAGAAAGTTTCCAATAATATTCTAAATTTTTTATAGGTTCCAATAGTATTCTAAAATTTTGAACCTAAATTTATAGTCTATCAATGAAACCCAAAGTATCACTGACACTAGGAAACCTTAAATACAAGCAAGAGGTAAAGGCTAAAGATATGTTATAATAGTTCCAATTTACACTAGCATGATGGATTATAACCCACATGGTTATATACACAGGCTTTTATGCTTATGCTAAATCAGATCCAATCCAATGTTATGCAGGCAAACTATGTAAATAAGCATGATATATTGCGCATTCAATAAAAAAAAAGATAAGAAAGTAGGTCGAGTTAAAAATTGGAAAGAAAAAAAATCTTTAAAAAAAAAAGTTTATACCAAATAACAAGTTAACAACTAGTTTAAACAATCTCATTTTTTGTGAATGTACGTAAAAGATTTATGATCTTACTCATGGAACAATCCGTGGATATCTAGGTCATTTTCTCGCAATTTCGGACCTGTACTATACCAGCCGACAACATGCTCCTTGGCTGAAACACATAACAGTCAAGTTTGTCAAATGATGACAGCTAGCAGATGATCCATCATCCATACATGTCTATGATAAAGAGACTTCATTCATAACAAAATACCATTTATTCTCTTAAACATGGAAAACATTGATTCATGGTAGTTGTGGTCAAGAAACCAGATGCTGGGATCCTTGTCGTCTTCTTCAAAGGGCACTGCAAATTTGAGATCCAAATATTCAATAACCATATCAATTATCATTGTAATTGCTAAAAAGAGTAATGAAGAAGAAAAGCTTGATGACATAAAAGGAGATGCTAGAGTGGTAAATTCAAATAAGGTGTTCAAGCTACTCTGTCTTAACTATCCATTTTTGCAATTGATAACTGGTCCTGGACACTCCCACATAGGATGTTTGCACCATTCCAAACTTCAAGATTCCAGCAACAAACATTAAAATGATGAAAATAATATTCTAAAGCACAAATTGTTCTCAAGATGAACTTTGTGGAACGAAGTTGAGAAAAACAAGTGAGTTAGGAATTTAGAAAAAAAAATGTGACTTTAGGAAAAAAATGAAGTTAAAAGGGCAAAATGGTCTCATAAAATAATAATATTCCGTGAAGTCAACTACCAGAATGCTAACGACAGGGGCGAGGTGCTGGAATTCATACATTCAAGGGGGTTTTGTTGCAAAACAAGTTCAGGGGGCTAAGTGTCATTACCCCCTAAGTACAGGGTGGTTGTCTGCAATTTACCCTTTAAATACATGCAACATGCCCAAAAAGAAGTTGCAGTTAACCTCTTTTATCCATCTTTTCTTTCTTTCTTTTACTCTTTTCAAAACCCTTGAATCATTTCAATAGTAAAACATTAGAAAGGCATAAGTAATAAGATGCCGCCATAATAATATTATTATAAAAGGCACCCACCTTATGATTTTTGTTGCCTAGGCAGGTGCCTTTTTAGTACAAGTCAAGGCACCCAACCAAGGGTGCCTAGGCAATGCCTTGACAACTATGGTTTAAGGTTGTGAACCTGATCATGTATTCATGTTAGACGATTATATATTTATGGGTGATCACTTGATATCCACACCAAGCACCATGTCAATTTGCCAATTAGAGAAGGCACCTGCTTGGAGTTATGGGGATTCTAAGGTGATTGTGGGCTGGCTGTCAAATCCGGACTCAGTTTGGAGTTATAGGGATCGCATAAAAAAAGTTAAATGTTTAATAAGGCACATAACATATAGATATCAGTGGATGGGTAGGGAGGCAAATGCTTTTGCTAATTATCTTGCTAAACAGGGATCTACTAGGGATCATTTATTTTGGGCAGCCTTGTAACCTTTATTTCTGATCACTTGTAATGTTTAGGGGACGCTGCATCTCATGCCTGTCCAAGGGATCCTTAAGTTTTATTACTCTTGATTAATGAAATCATTTTCAATTATAAAAAAAAAATGCCAATTAGAGAAGAATAATTGTGAGGTGGATGGTAATTCAGAGACGGTGTTACACAGAAAAAATGGAGGAAGATGTCAAACAAAGTAAAGATGAAACAACTGATAATGAGGTTAGATGACTATGCAAGGGTGGTCACTTGATATCCTCCCAAACACCATGACAGCATGCCAATTAGAGAAGAACAACTGAGAGGTGGATGGTAATTCAAAGACGATGACTCAGAAAAAACAGAGGATGTCAGACAAAGCAAAGATGTAACGGCTGATAAAGTGTTCAAAGTTAAAAAGCCATATGGCACAACCAATGTTCACTGAGGAAAGATTTTGTCGACGTCAGTGGAGATGTTGAAGAAGATGCAGAAGGGAAGAAATAATGTTCATTTGAATATGAACCTGTACAATATCAGGTCCGGTGAAGCCTGCTATTGTAAGCAAGACAAAATGTCAATTTTAATGGAAATATAAACCATTTAAAAATAAGAAACATGTCAACATTATGAATATTTTGTATAGGTTTGTTGAAAAATTTTTCATTTAAAGGCGTGAGATGCCGCCTCTAAACGGATTTGTTGTAAAAAGTTTATAATAGTGTAAATATTGGTTTATAAAACATCTGTTAATATTTTTTGAAGTTATAGAAGCACATTAAATAATTATACAAATTTAAAGTGATAAAATATTATGCTTTTTTTTGAGAAAGATAAGGTAATTATTGATAAAAACAATAATGATACAACAAGCCACCTGCTGGAGCACCACACTTAAGAGCTCAACACAAGAAGCACAACTAAAAGCAGAACAGCTAACACCAGAACAAGATTAGCACAAAACAAAGGTAACACAGGGGAGTTCTGGTTAACAACATTAGAAACTGACAACCGAAACCCAATTCTGTCCACAGCAATATTGATGAGCTCCTCAACAGACTTTTCATTTGAGCTGAAAATTCTGCTATTTCTTTCTCACCAAATTGTCCCGAGGATAGCTGCAAGTACCGGAGTGCATATTTTCTTGCCATTAGACCCCAAAGGATAAAAATGATAGTTTTAAAATGACTTCCCTCCAATTAGAGCCCAAATACAACCTTAGTGAAACCCTGGGGTGGTGGGGACTAAACGGGACTTGTTAAAGTATGTCACTCTGAACAAGCCACTTCCCTCCAATTTCTCATAATATCACCCACTATAAAATCAGCAAACTCCAAGGATTTAACCCACTGAACCACCCTAGCAATGATAGTCTCAATAATAGCCTCTCTACGTCTTTCCTTATCAAAGAATATCCTCGAGTTCCTTTCCTTCCAAATGGTCCTTAAACACCATAACAATCTTCCCCTCTTCTTTGGCCAACTAAAGAACGTAGAGGAAAACAAACTTTGCAAATTTGGTGTGTGTGTGTGTGGGAGGCATACGCCTGGAGGCACACCTCCCAAAACGCCCTGAGGCGTATACCTTGACACCTTTGAGGCATACGCCTCATACGTTTTTTTCATGAGGCGTGCTAGAGGCATATGCCTCATGTAAAAAGACAGAAAAAAGAAAGAAAAGGAAAGGGAAGGGAAGGGAAGATAAGGGGAAAGAAAGTCCACTTCAACAAGACCCCCCCCCCTTCAACTAGTGCTATGCATCTTTATTTTTTCTTAATATAAAAGATTTTTATTAAAAATAAAGAAAAATAAGATTTTTCTTCCTCTTCTTCCTCCTCATCCCCCCTCCTCTTAAGGAGGCTTATGCCTCCTTGTGTTCGGGAGGCTTACACCTCTTACGTTCTGAACTACACCTCACACCTCTAGGTAGTGGAACACCTCGCATCACGCCTCCGCGTTTTAAAACATTGGTATTTATTCTTTCTAGGAAAACTTTCCAATAGAAACCTCCAATTCTAGGAGGGGAAGGTTTTTACTCTAGACCTCCTTAACAGGGAAAACTTGCCCCAAATTATCCAAGTGTTTAGTTAAGAACTTACAAAAAGGAAGCACAAGAGAAGGTACCATTGGGGGAATGAGTCCAGATTCGACTATCAAGTTTGGTAGGATCCAATAAGACCCCTTCAAGTATGTGGAGTAAAGTCAATACACCGTTTAGTTATGAATCCCTTAATCCCCTTCTTAAGCCCAAATCCTAATCGAAGCCAGTATTTGAACTAGAAGGAACAAGAAAAGTGCAATTAATTAGGCTCATCTTTGTATCTTGAGAGGGGAAACAAGGAAGGATGTTCCTAAAACCTTACCAAATTACCAAAGCACAAATCATACCTGACACACTGAAGGAAGAATGTCATGTATGGCCTTCCAAGGAAAAGCTCTTGTGGCCCTAGTCAGTACTCCAGCATCCCATCCATCCACTGTAAGCCCATGAATGCTCACAATTACCTTTGCTCATAATTTGTCCCTATACTGAGGTAATCTCCAAAGCCATTGGCCCAACAAAGCCACATTTCTCTTTTACAAATTTCCTAACCCTAGACCCCCCCCCATATTTCTTGCTTTTAGTTACTACATCCCATCTAACTCTATGATCCCACTTTTCCTCACCTAGCTCCCATAAGAAATTCCACATCATCTTTTCCAATTTCTTCCCCACTCTCCCTAGCATCTTAAAGATATAGATATATAATACACATGCAAGTTAGCCAGGGTGGACTTAGTCAAGGTAACCCTACCTCCCAAGGAAAGGTCATTTTTCTTCCAATAGGCAAGCCTTTTAGCAAATCTTTCTATGGTAGGGACTCAAAAATTACTCTTCTTTGAATTGTCCCCAAAGTTAAAGCCAAATACTTTAGAGTCCATTGATCCACTACACACCCTAAAATGTCTACACACTCTACCACTTCCCTTTCCTCCATATTAATTCCCACTAACCAACTCTTATCAAAATTTATTTTCAGATTTAACATTTGCTCAAAGAGTTGTATTGCTAACTTCAAGTTCCTTATCCACCTTCTATCCCCACCCTCAAAGAACAAGCCCATGTCATCAGCAAATTACAAATGTGTGATTGGCACCCTGTCATGACCGACTTACCATCCCCTCACTAAACCTCATAATCTACCTTGGTAATTATTTTTCTGAAGAACCACAACTACTAGAGTGAAAAGGAAAGGAGAAAGAGGGTTCCCTTGTTCAATTCCCCTCAAAGCCGAAATAAAACCCACCAGAGTTCCATTCACCAAAAGAGAATAATGCCAAGTCCGAATACACCCCATTATCCACTTACCATCTCTCCCCAAAACCAAAACTTCTCATCACCTCCAATAGAAATGATCAATCCACCACACCATATCATAAGCTTTCTCCAAATCCAACTTGAATAATAAACCTTTTTTACTTTCTCTTTTCATCTCATCTTCACTTTCGCTCACAATTAGGATTTGATAAATGATTTGCCTATTCTTCACAAACGCCCCTTGATTTAGTGAAATAATTTATACAAGCTACTTTGCTCCTTAGAGACAAAACCTTAGCTAATAATTTATACAAGCTGTCCATATATATTTGTCAAGAATGGAATTCGAACCCATACCCTTTTGGACTAGTACCTGAAACTGGTGCCTTAGACCAACTCGGCCACTTGACATTTGGTTGTACTCATGCCTATTTTTTACTAATGAAATCATTCCTGTGTTGTTAATAAAAAATAAAAAAATTATACAAGCTATTCACCAAGCTAATGGGTTTAAACCTCTAGGATGGGAAGCATCAATTTTCTTAGGCACCAAAGCAATGAAAGTTGAGTTCAAACCTAGATT